GACAACCAATGGGTTAATTTAAGCAGCTGATGAAACTGGTTTGTGCTAAGGGGCTAAGTTTGCCTGAAGCATTTTAGCAAATCCACCAACGTCCCTTCCAGAGCCTCCAGGACAGCGCTGACTGTGCAAACAGCTGGGGCAGAATGGTTTCACAGGCACATGAGATCTTGTGGAGGATGTCTGTCCATGGCCTAACAGTGAGTTATCTGAGACACTGGGAAAACATACGAGCAATGCAGAATAAGAATAGAGGCCAAATCAAGGCTTTGTCTCTCATTTGATTGTCATGGATGGAGTTTTCAACTAGAATTCACTGCTGATGTCTAAATGTCTTTCAGCATCACAAGGAAACTTGTCCCTTGTGAAAAAGTCTTTAATGCTCCAAGATTACAGATGGTTCCTGAGTGTCTGGCTTTGTAACCCAAGCACCCTCTTCTGTTTTATCATTTCAGAAGACAAAAGAAAGTGAGAGCAAGCAAATAAAATATAATATCTCTTCAGTAAAAAATCTTCTGTATTAAAGCTCATGAGTACACCTGTTAGCTTTCAGGCATCATTTGCAGTAGCAATGTGTCCTTCTTATCCTTTCCTTTCAGCAGGAAAATAAAAAGCTGAAAAACAACCATTCCTCTTACCTCTCCCCAGCATCTAATATTTTCACCTCCTTAGTCAAGTATGTAACTTAGTTCTTGCATCCGTATTTTCATAGTTGTGGCAATTCAGCATTGTCTGGGCTGCCTTTTGCTTTTTTTCCAAAGTATACTATTACCTCTTGTATATTTTGCTGTCTTCCTTCCCACCATATTTCTGGCATGTTGCATGCCCCATGTGCTAGATGAGGACACTGTCTGATTCCATGACTGTAAATAACTGTTAATAGATTCAGATTAATGCCAGATTAAGTATAATGCTACTTCTACAGCTATCTTTCAAGTGTGTGAACACAGAGTGGCCTCATCTAGGCTGATTTTGACTGTCACGGTGCTTTAACCTCTACATTGTAAGTAGGATCCTGTGGCCTGCATCTGAAGACAGGATCAAAGACAAAGCATCAAAGACAGAAAAATATCACCTATGAAGCAATAAAAATCAGTAAACTTCACCATGAATCCCTCCAACCCCTCATTCTCACACCTCCACGTAGCCTGGAACATCCTGCTAGATACGATGTTTTTACGTTATCTCCAATTTATATTGCATTAGACAGCAAAGTTACATGGTCTGATGTATTTTTACATGGTCTAATGTGTTTTGCTAGGGATACACTCAGTGGTTATTAACTGGATAAAACCTGATATTAGCTTGGCTTTGTTTATTTTCTAATGTTATTTACTCTGTGATAAGTGACTAACCTTAGTTAACATTGTGAATTGTTTGCCCTGTAATGACCAGATATTCCATTACAGTATGTAAATTATTTGCATAGTGATCATGATTTAATGTTATTGGTAATTAGAATTATTTGTCTGCTGGTAATGCTGTATAAATGATCTGTCATTAATCACAGGGCATAACTTACCACGAGCTCTAATGAGGAAAGCTGCAGTTTAATGTTACTAAACTATCGGTCTCCTCTAGGCCATTGTTTTACATCACAGGGAACTGTTTTCTGTATTTATTGATCATTCATTGATCATTACCATAAAGACTGGGGCTTTGTAAATGTCTTTATTCTTTGATGTAAGATATCACCAGACTTTGAGTCCAAATAATTAAACATGTAGCTGATAAATCATGCTCAACAGATTTTCACACTTGTAGTTTTAAATCACATCAGAAGTTCCTCCTCTTGAGAAGAAAGAAGTTCCATAGATCACATTTCTCACATTAGTACCAATAGAGCCAAGGACACATCTTTGCTAAAGGAAAATTAAAAAGGCAAAGACAGATGAGAGACTCCAGCCAGCAGAGCATCATCTTTAATTCAGAAAAAGACACTTCCAAGGGGAAGCTCCTCTTCCCCCGGAAAAAGTCAAATGCAAAATGTCATTGCTCATTTTTATTAGGAACCACTTTTATTCACTGTATATTCTTCTTGCAACACTAGTAAACTATTCACTCAACATCCTTCCTACCCTTATTTAGACTTTGCTATACATAGCAGAGAATCCCATACCCTTGGAAAGTGGAGTGTCCATTTAAAGCTGAGTGCCAGAGAACCAGAGCTCTGAGCTCTGCAGTGATGAGCCAGCATGCAACAGCAGTATCCACACTGCAAATGTCTACTGACAATTTCTGTCTCTTGAAACCAGGACAGAACCGTTGCTAGAATTTTTAAGGTAGGAATTAGAGCTTAAGGCCCAAAAAAGCAGGATTTAAGGCATGTTTCCAAATCCTGCACCTCCATGCACTCAGACAGACCATGAACGGGTATGTTTAAGTCATATGAGAAGTCTGAGGAAGATTTTCACATATCTACAGTTGATGCAAAACCTGAATGCTTTTTCTTCTCAGGCTCTGAAGTTACTTGAATTCAGATCTATCTGATTAACTAATGTTATTCCCAAATGAGAGACTTTTTGAAATGAGACTCATGCCTAAGAAGGAGCCTTTCCTATGACTTAACTGCAAGGCATTTAGTGTAAATACTTTTCCTGAGTGTCTGAAAGAGCTAGAACTGTATATGAAAATGCAAATACTTGTCACAACACTTTCTATAATTTTCGTGGAATAAACTATTTACCTACATAGTGATTCAGTCAAATTGCAATGCCTGCTTATCATTCTAAAAGATTTGAATAGTTCAAAAGAAATATTTGTATTGAAAAGCTTTATTTAGAATAAAAAGCAAAATAGCTGAAACCTACTAAATCAGAAAATGTATGCAAAGGAAGATCAATGGGAATAAAATATGTCTTTTAATATTTTACCAGGGGAAAAAACAGAATCATTAATGTTATTTTTAATTTTGAGCCTCTGTAACAGTCTTGATTTTGCCCGGTAAAGTTAAACTAGAAGAGTAGTCAGTTGTACAAGGGAGAAGTGGATGATAGAGGAATATGAAGAAGAAATTAATACATCTAAAAGATTAATTGATGATTGATCAATGCAAATAAATGTAGAATATGAATGACTTTGATGCGTCTTTCTCATGGAACCTGTGTGCTTCATAAAAGCCGAACTATGAAAGTCAGTAAAAGATTTGGAAGACAAGTGTTCATGCATTCTTTATAAACAAAGTCAAAAAGAAGGAAGTGAAAGAATTTCAAAGTATTTGGAATCCTTTGCATCAGTCTGTACCCTTCATAAAATATCTACTGACAGAATTAGGCAGGCAAAGAGTGAGATGTGCACACAGCAATATATTGGAAGCATGGTGGGTATCTTTAATTATTCAAAATACAACACCTACCTTTTTTTGTGAAGCCAAATAAAATGAAGTGAATAGTTTGTCCACTAACATTGTGCTTTTCTCACACAGTAACATGTTTCTCTAAATATTTTGATACCATGATAACATGGAACAATTGTACTATAATAACAAGAAACTGAGGAAATGTGTTGTATGAGTTCAGTGAGCATTTTGCTAAAATAGCAGCAAATGATTTTTTGGTGAATATAGAGATGTGTTTTGCATTTTAGTTAATTTTATTTCATATACTTTTTTCGTCAACAAATGAAACCATAGATGAGTATATTTTTTAATTTAGAGTTAGATTTTTTTCCTAACAGAGATTCTAACAAATATATTTCAATTTAGATTAGAATAGTGCCATCAATCAGACAGTGCATTCAGCTGAATACCCCGGAATCTCACAAGCATGGATATTAGGCAGATGTAATGGGTAGCAACAGTCCTGCTGCAGATCAGCTGTATAAGAAAACCAAAAGCACAGGTATGATTTAAAATGTGGAAATCCACAGTCACATATTAGCTTTCTCAGTGTCTGTGACTTTTTCTTCCCTAACAAGGCCAATTAATGAGATTAGGAGATTCTGTTAATGAATCCTCTGAATCTTTGCACATAGTCAGAGAAAAAGAGCAGTGAGCATAGAAAGGCATTGGAGAGGAGGGGTTCTTAGAGACCTTGTAGTTTCTTGAGGGTTTTCAGAACATATGCACTGTAGAAAAACAGTCCAGCTACACCCATGGATTCATTCCTTGTCCAAGAGCTGAGCTAATCAGAGTTTACTAGTTGGAGTTTGTACACAAAAGGAATACGAGAAGGGAGAGATGATGCACCACATCCCAGACCCCTCTGATTCCTTTGGCAGTGGAGGATCAGGCTCTGTGCAAACTGAGGCACGATGATTCTTCCTGCTGAGAGTCTTTGGACTCTCTTTTTCTCATTCTCCCTGAAGAATTTGGAGGATTTCTAGCCACTGTTTTCTTCTCCAGGCTGAAGAGACTAGATGATTTGTAGATACTGGATTGATGCCAAACTGCAGAGACCAAAAAACTGCCTCAGCAAAGAATGGAATTATGTATACAAATATGCTAAAATACAGCTTGTACAGAAACTTACATAGCACAAATAGGGGAATAAGTGCCAGAAAACACTGATAAATTTACCGCATAATAATTATTGAATTTACAAAAAAAATTTGAAAAGCTACTTGCAAGGACATACATGTGTATGTTATAAGATAAAACATATGATACTCTTCTAACAGTTTAATTCTGGATAATATTGACCAAATTTTGCTTGGCCTTCAGCTGAGAAGTAAAAAAAAAAGGTAGCATCTTAGTATTACATATAATACTACCTCAGTGCCTCCCTAATCCATAACAGAAGCATTAATCACTGTGTCTTTGTCATGGCAGCATGGCAGTTTGCAGTCTGTCTGTGTACTTGATTTATGAACAGCTGATGGCCATTGAACTGCATCAATCCACCAAACAGTATTTTGTGCTTCCTTCTGCTTGGAGTATAAATGTTACAGAGCACTGACATTATATTCTATCTAATATACACAAGGTTAATTTCGTAAGCTCTTAATTTTCGCCTCTCTTTGCACTGTTTTTCATGTCTTGCTTTTTTTCTCCTCAATCACAAAAGGCACTGCTGATCTCAGACCCCCAGCTTACCACCTTGCTTGAAAGTCTGCACTTTGCTGTGCTCGAGGGCAGGACAGCACACTTCTACCTCCCAGCACAATCAAGGTGAGTTCCTGTCTCAGCTGAGAAAGAATTGGCATGGTCCTTCAGCCTATTTTCCTTCCTCTCTCAGTAGGTTTCCTCTTGTCCCATGAGTTTCACATGAAATTTGGAGGAGGTTTGAGGTCTGGTGCAGATGCTTTTGGGCATGAGTGCCCAGTATGGCCGAACTACTTCACACAGTTGCTTTGGAAGGAAAAGAAAGTGGAATAAATTTGCGTTTTGTTCTTTTGCAGATCCTTAAGAGGTGGGACACTCAACTAGAGCTACCATTTAAAACCATCTAGGGGGTCAAAAGGAGGCCCCCCTTCAGCTCACCACCCTCCAAGCCTTGTATGCAAAGCATGAGTCCTGAGTCCAATACTATCAGGCTCCAGTCTCATCAGTGTGTGGGGGGAGTGGGTCCTTACCTGTGCATACCGGTGGTGGCACAGCAGCCGTGGAAACCCACACACTTCATTAATGCACTCATTCTCTGTGAGTTTTCTGTTGTAGTCTGCTCTTTGGGGGGAGGGGGGATTCTGTCCATTTTTAATGAAATATCCATGTCCTCCGTTTTTTGATATTTTCTCATTCCTTAGGCCCCCTCCTTTCTCTGGTTTGCAACTTTTAAAAGCCAAGGCTGTGCCCGGATTTCTATTAGTCACAAGCTTATGACAGTGCATCAGATTGCTGCATTTGGTAGTGTTTAGGAGGGTATTGCTTTGTAAACTGCACAGTGCTATTCACTATTGCCTGTAACAAAGCACTTTTTGTTAGTTAATGGTGTCTAGAAAATACTGATTAAATTTAAAGCATCTCCAATTCTGTAGAGTGAGTTAAGAAAAAGAAAAGAAAAATCCAACCGCTAGAAAAGCTTGTTTTTTTAAACGCTTTATCTCACCTCTCTTGGTAAGAGAATGAGGGATGTATTCACAAATATTTGAAGAGTGGCTCCAAGAGATAGTGCTGCCCTGCAGGAACTCCTGCCATCAAAGGGTATATATCAAGGCATAATGGGATGAAATTAGGCAATAAAGCTAACCAGATAAGTAGTCTTTCATCTTTGATATACATTCCAAGTGTTGCATAAAGGAAATAGCAATTGCAAACATTTTTTTGGGGGAGGATTCCTACAAGCGAGATCTGTCAGGTGTGGGCGGGGAGGGAAGGAGGAAGGGGAAGCTGAGTGCACCCTTATCCTGGCCAGCACAGACCTGGCTCCCACGCAGCCCTCTGCCCCCCGGAGCAGGTCGAGCTGTTTACCATGGGGACTCACTCCCCAGGGAGCTTGCTGGAAGCCCTGACCGCTGTGAATCTGAGCCGAACCAAAGCGCTATTAGGAGGCTCCACCTTACACTGGTGGAAAAATCCCTAGGGTAGGACCAGAAACAGGGCTTGGCCCAGATATTTCCATGAATCCCTTGGCCCAAAGCCCAGATGGCTCCGTGGGAGCCCATCACTGCCTCCATGGGCATCATGCCAGCGGCAGGGAGAGCAGGGCAGGGGAGGCACGGTCCCCATGCACTGCCCTGGCTGGCACCGCGGGCAGCGCTCGGCTCTCGAGTGGGGACGCAGCGCGGGTTGTGAATGCCAGTGTGCATTAATTGTTTAGGCTACAACCACCGTAAGTGATGAGAACAAATTACTGGTCCATTTCTAACGAGGGAGTTCGGGAGAAAAAGTGAGATGCAGCAGGGCAAAGTCAGGTTGTGGGGCAGCAGAAGGGAGTTGTGCTGGTTTGCTTTTCTTCCTTTAATTTGCTGTTATTTTCCAATAAAGAACTTGCATTATCGTAATGAATTTTTTAAATGACTGAAAATTAAAAAAATAATAACATTGCCATAAGCAGAAAAACACTCCACCTCCACCGCCCCCCACAAGATGGAGCTCGCAACTCAGGAGCGGTGATGATGTTCTTTGTGTCGCTGAAAAATGAAACGGTTTTACTCTCACCCTTTTCTAATTTTTATCTTTTGCTAATATAATGCAGATTGGTTTTATACATTATTTATAGAGCCCAGAACTAGTATAGGGAACACTGTCGCTCATTTTAATGATTTAGGTATGTTTTTTATTATTGTTATACTGTATAGACTTTGGAAAACCTTCATTTGGATCCCATTTAGAACACAGGAAGTTGCCCAAAGCTTGAATGTGAACCTTAATTTACTGAAATCCTTGTAAGGCTGAGAATATTTACTGCTGGCATTTATTGCTCCTGTGAGAGTTAGAGCGAGAGCGAGTTGGGGGGAGAGAAAGAGAGGAAAGGAAAGACAACAGTAACTTCAGCCAAAAAAGCAAAGAACATATGTTGGAGTCGTGCTCAGCTGCGCGTGTGTAGAGCAGGATAATCTGCCTCTGAGCTGCTCTGCTGGGACAGGAGGTGCCTTACTGCCTCTGAGATTCAGAAGAACTCCAACAGTACTTGTCCTTTGAGGAGCTGAATCTTTGTTTCCTGAAACCTCTCTATAAAGTGGGGTTCATGAGCAGTTAAAATGCTTGGTTTGGTGTACCCCATAAAGGACTATGTTCTTTTTGTGCTGCAGTAGAAGTAATTTTGGACTTCCCCCCGTGCTCTGCAGATAAAAATCATAGGGATTTTAGCTGTGCAGAGTCGGAGAGGTTCCAGGGGTGCCCAAGGGAAACCAGATGCAGGACCCCAAGCAGCCTTGGCTAGAGATAGAGAAGTGCTGCAAACACACCACTATGTTTCAGGAGGCTGGAGAAGGTGACCCAGCAACCAGCAGTAATGAGGCAGGAAAAGATCTCTTAATTTTCTTCCTTTTTCCCCTTACTTTGTGCTTGCAGAATAATAAATAAGCTTATTCAAGCTTTGGTTGCTAAAACTTTTAGACAAAAATATTCCTAGGATGGGGCAGTCTTTGCTCAGACTAAAAAAGTGCAGGTGATTTCAGCAGTCTCCAGCCTTTCAGAAAATTGGAGTTCTGCACTTTAGGAAAAAGAACAGGTGCCCCAGTTATTCCTGTAGTGTTTTTTACTTTAAAGAGAAGCAGAGCAAAATGTTTAGGTTTTTTTTTTAGGGTATTTGCTTTATATTCCCTTGTTCCTCCAGCCCCCTTTCATTCAGCTGCTTAACCTGCCTTTCAACTGGTCTCTCTGGTGGCTTGTTTGTCCTGTGCTGGTGACAACTAAAACAGCTAATAAAGCAGCTGGCAGGAGGGTGAATGAAGGGACCATGCCAGCTACTGCCCCTATGGTGGAAAAAAACAACAGTGAAACTTTGATATGTCTATCTTGATGTTTCCTCAAAAAACTGTATATTATGAAGGTTTCTTAAATGGAAAACACTGTTTTGTGAAATTCTGAAGAGCAGTTTAATTTAAAAGATTGCCCATTAACATGAAATACCCACAACCGTTTGTTACTGTTATTACTGAAACAGCTTTTGATGATATACTCTCATTATTTTGAATTTAGTTATGCTTTGTTAGTATATATTACCGGCACTGTGAAAGGATCAAGGCATTACTCAACAAGGCATACCAGTGCGTGGTGAGAAGACAGGTTTCCTCTCGGAGCTCACAGCCAAAGTATGGCCCTGCAAGGAAGCAGGATGGGGTGAGCAACTGGGAGATGCCAAAGCAGGCAAAATCTGTCTATGGAAAGCTGTCCCTCTCTTACAGGCTATACGTTGCAGGCAATAGTGGAGTGAGTCCCAGATACAAAAGGTTATTGCTAAGGTCTCAAATATAGCTCAGTTAGAGAACATGACTGAAAGGCCCAGTGCATAAAATTGGAAGATCTGTGTTCATGATACACATTATGCTTCAGTATAATTTTAATCATAGCACCAGATTGTCTCCGGCATTAACATCTAACATCTCCTTGGTAAAGACCTCCTGAAGTACCTTGAAAGACATGCAGGTAGTTCAGATATGCAATGTCTGCTCCTAGAATTAGGAAAACTGAAAGAGAAGGGGTTTGCAATTGCTTGTAGAGCTGGAAGGTTAGTGATTATCCTTTATCTCTCATTGTGTGAGTGGGAGGGCACCCATCTTGAACAAACTGCTAGGCACAGTTGTTCATTTTTACATTAAGATGTCATTTCACATTAATTTAAAGGACTCCAGTGCAAAATGTGGCGGCATGGTTTCATTCTTAATAATCTCATAATGATTTCAATTTTGAGAAGATATTTAAGCATTAGAATAGATAAGGAGAATCTGGAAATTCAATCATTAGAGCTGTTTAAAACAAGTTGGACAAATATCTATCAGGGATGACATAGGTATAGTTGATTTTTCCTTGAGGCAGAGGAATAGACAGGATGACCTATTTACTCTGTTTTCTAGGTCTTGTATGTGACTAGCTGTAGGTGCTTAAGTGCAGAAAATATTCTGTGTCAGAGAAAAAGACCAACTGCATTGAAATAAAGTTCAATTTAACAGGAAGCTAAACAAGAAGTTTGTAGAAATAATGTAATTATCCCAAATCAAAGATAAATAATATCTAAAATTCTGAAGGAAATTGAAATTCTAAGAAAATATGTAGAAGATAGCATGATAAATGCTCAAAAACAGTATCCAAGAAACCTCAGCTCTGCTGTCTAACATTATCAAATAAAATTATTCCAGTGAGGGGCATTTTGTGTTTCTAGTTCCAGATTCAAATGTTTGCCTAAAAATAGAAATTATCTTTTCCTTTTTTTTCCCCTTTGTGCCATCATAGTGTTGCCATTAAGAATATAGCCAGCAGCTACTTTCATTAAGAGAAGCCTCTGATCTCAGCCGTAGGAAGAACAATGGAAACATGCTGTTCTTCTCAAAATGCCTCTGTGGATATAGGCTTCTTCTGCTCGGCTTTTTCATCATGAGCTCTCTTTGCACCAGCGCTGCAAGCCTCCAAGCAGCCAGGGAAGAGCAGGGTCAGGCTGGGTTTCTGGGTATCCCCATCCCTGGGCACGGGCTGGGGACACGCAGCAGTGTCTGCAGTGGAGCCACAGGATGACTGGGCTGCTGTCCTGCTCTGCTTCTGCCGTGCCAGTCCCATGGTCTGGCTGACAG